TATAGATATGACAGAGAGATAGATAGATAGATAGATAGAGAGAGAGAGAGAGAGAGAATGGTCTTGCAGCCCTCTGAGGAAGCCCATATGGGCTGTGTCAAGCTGGGAGGGAAACTTTTAACTCTTTCCTCCAAGGATGCAAAGCTGCCATCATCAAAGCCGTTGGGAGTATTTGGCTCAGCTGCAGAACCGGTTTGGTTTATGGCCTCTAGCCTGCCAATGCCCTTGCCAGTTTCCTGAAGTTCTCCTTCCTCTAATGGATTAAGGCTGGTTTTATAGCCTCTTTTTTATTTCCCAGAGAGGCTGAGATTGCCAGGAAATAAGCAGTGGGAGAAAAAAGGGAGAGAACCACCTGGACAGCAGCATTACTTAAAGGGACTATTTAGCCTTCATGTCTAGATTAAAAAAAAAACAGAATTCAGTTATCTTTGGGATTTTGCATTTCTCCCGGTGCTGGGGTGCTGTTTCTGGATCGAAAAAATAAAAATGAGGTAAATGTATTGAATTAAAGAACAGTGTTTAAATTTTAAAGATGGCAGAATGAACATCAAGAGACTGGTGTGGATTTAGAAAGCGACCGATGTCCTCTTCCCCATTATTTTTCAATTTTTTCCTCTCTTGGATAAAACAAATTGCACGAACTGACTATCAATCCAGTTCCTTTGCTCAGACAAACGCTTCACTTGTTGGTTTTAGACAATAAAATTACCGGTTGTCTGTATGATGGAAACAATGTCTGAAAAGGGGGAAGGGGGAGCTCTGCCAGGCAGCTTTGAGCTGTCCCACTCTGGGGCCTGCAGATTTGTCTGAATCGGGCAGAGAATCCACCCATCGGGGATCTTTCCTCTCACTCCCTAGGGCGAAGTGGAGTTTGCCCGTATCATGACCCTGGTGGATCCCAACAACACGGGAGTGGTGACCTTCCAAGCATTCATTGACTTCATGACCCGGGAGACAGCCGAGACCGACACGGCTGAACAGGTCATTGCCTCCTTCAAGATCCTGGCTTCAGACAAGGTGAGTCAGGAGAGGGCTGGAAGGGTGGTGTGTGTGTGTGCAGGAGAGGGATTCCGCCTCGGCCACACCAGTTTCGAAAGGGACTCTTATTTACAAGTGGGATTAAACCTAGATTAGCTAAAGAGAATCAGCATCCTGGATTCCGCCTGTCAGTTCTGCGGTTTTTTGCTGTTCTGACATAGGCTTCCCCAGCAGCACGAAGCCTCGTGCTCGTCCCAATAAACCCCTTTTATTGAATTGAATTCCTCTCCAGCAAAGTCTTTCCTCTCCCACAGTCAGCCTTCCCCAGACTCCAGGGCCGCCCCATGTTCCTCCCCAACCCTCCTCACAGTCCGAGTCTGCTGCCAGCTCTGCTAGTTGCTGGTGGGCCACAACATTTGCCATCTCTGCTTCCCCCTTTCCCCACCGGCGAAAATCCTTTCTCTACTGGACGAGGAAACGCCAGCCCCCCCTTCCCAAATCTGCTCTATGATCCCAGTTATTCTTCAATTAATGGTTTACAGTGTGCCAGCTCTGCCTCAGTGGGGCAGGAGACGAGGGAGTTGATCGTGATGGGCCTCTCCCTGTATCAGAGTCCTTTTTCTAGCGGCAGGAAGGACGCCCAGAGGCTTCCCACCCCATACCAGCCCAGCAAGTAGCAAGTCATCTGAGCTGGTCTGGCCTTCTGCCCCACGACAGACCCCCTCAAACCTAGCATTCCTAGGAAGCTCCTTCATACCACTTTGGACCTTCAACTTGGGTGTCCTCCAAGCCCACCCGGGGTAAAGCCAGGGTGGGCTTTACCCTAAGCAGTGCAGCTGGAGAGCAACATCTGGGGAGGGCTGGGCTGGCCTCAATGGCAGGGCTCAGTCAGGCATCTGTTACCCCACCCCCCTCTGCCCCCCAACTAGAAATGCTAGATGGGTCCTTGACATCTCCTGCCAAGCAAATGTCTATGGAGATTCTCAACCACCCAGGTCCTGGTTGTCCCAAAGGTGCTTTTCCAAAAAGCAACTTGACTTTTTTTTTCTTGAAAACACTTTGCTTCTCATCCAAGAAGCTTTTCCAGTTCTGGCTGAATGGTGGGGAATGAAATGCAAATCCTTCCACCATTCCACTAGAATAGAAGCAGTTTCTTGGATGAAAAGCGAAAGGTTTTCAAGGGGTGGAAAGCAAAAGAGCCAAGGAAGCACTTGCCTTCTGGAAAAGCCCTCGTGGGGCTCCTCCCAAGCAGGGGCTGAGCTCTGGGCTTCTCTGACCTCCTAACCGGGGTGGGGTGGGGTCTCCTTGGTCCTCCGCAGAGCTACATCACAGTGGACGAGCTTCGCCGGGAGCTGCCCCCCGAGCAGGCCGAGTACTGCATCACCCGGATGACCAAGTACAGCGGAGCCGATACCGTCTCGGGCGCCTTGGACTATGTCTCCTTCTCCAGCGCCCTGTATGGGGAGAGCGACCTGTGATTCCCTCCCCTCACCACAAAAGGCATGTGGGAGCAGAATGACCCCCTCCCTCCCAGGGAGCTAACACAATTCAAGTCCTGTGCCCAGGGCGCACGGCATAGCAGCCCCTTCCCCACATGCCCCCACCCCCATGTTGGGCAAAAGGTAACGAGAACCTCCCTCTCTCCACCCATGAGCCACAAGGGGAGGGGGGGGTCTTTCTCAGAAAACCGTCTCTGTCCTGTCCTGCTGCCGTCTCTCTTCTTTGCTCCTGAGCTAGTCAGCCCTCCTCCCCCCAGGCTGTGCTCTGCCCTGCCTCCCCCAAACCCTTCTGGGTTTCTCAGCCCCCAGGCGATGTCCTGGAAGCTGTCTAGATGATCACCGGGGATGCCCCGAGGGGTTCCCAAGGAAGCAGGGCAGGGCCGGCATGGAACAGATGCTGTACCAATAAAACACCACACTCTGGAGGCCCATCTGTGGTCGGGGTCTTTCTTCTTGGGAGGCCAACGGGATGGGATGCTACGCCAAGGTCCTATAAGCTTAAAGGCCCGGCCGCTCAGCCAAGAGG